ATAAAACGCATGAAGGCCTCGAATGGCGAAGTGTAGTCCTACCGCAAAGTGTGCTCATCTCTGTCCTTCTGTTGGTCGAATGGTCTAGCACCACCACCAAGGCCACGTTGGTTGGGAGGCACATAGCGGCCAGTCGTGTGAGTACGGAGCTACAGTGGTCACTGCTATAGTACGCATCGAATGGTACTACCGGAATCGCCTCCTTCTCAGCTTCGCCGTCGGCCTCTCCTTCACTTTCACCACGGAACTTAGTCCATACGCTAACCTTCTTCTTGTTGAGACCGAGGACCTACGACCGGCCATAGGCCAACTTGGTTCCTTCCCCTACTACTACTTGGTCCACACTCGCCGTCCAGAATTTCTCCTGATCGGCACCAGTCTCATCCTCAGCAGCAGCGCTGGCACCAGTAAGCTTGCTGGGCTCCAGATTGATCTCATCTTCGGTACGATTCGCAAAAGTATTATTTCTATTCGTCTCCACAGCTTTTCCAAAGGGAGTCCAATGTCTCCGTCTGATAGTATCATCTCTGCCCTCCCTACACCACCCCATGATCACTACTACCTTTCTGACTCAGCCTTGCTGCAAGTCACTCGAACAGTAGTGACCTTGACGACTCTCGTCACCTTATATACAGCACCGTCCCGCTCTTGATACTCGGTTATGCTCTTGAGACCAGTTTCAGGATCTAAAGGTAAGCGGGATATCCTAGGTCCGTCTTGGTATGATACAAACTAGGTACGGATGCTTACCAATATCCGTCTCGGTGGTGGATGGCACCTCCCGGTGGCTTGGTGATACGGGATCCTCATCAGCCCATCGCCCGGTTGTCATTACTGAAGCCATACCGCCACTGATGATTGATGTGTTGCTACTTCACAGTAGTCAAATGATTATCGCGCTCGCCATTCTAATCGATAGAGCTGAGCGGTTTCATCCATGAACAACAACAATCTTCGCATGCTCTTCCCCGGCGTCGGGTCGTGGGCTAGAGGACGACGCTATACACATGACGTCCTCGGCCCAAGTGGTGGGGTCAGCCTTAACATAACGGGAGGTACCACACCACATCGTCAGGGAGGGCGGGAGATTGGAAAATAAATCAGCTACAACTCGCCGAGAGTGCGATGTAACCTTACGGCTCGAACGATCTTCGAGGCACTACCCGTAGCGCTGACCATCAGTTCGACACAACGTATTTTTCGTTGATGTAAATGGAGTTGCGTTAGAGAGGATACGAATGTGGTGGACAATCCCGGGCAAATCCCAGGATCCTGCAAGGCGGTGTGGCGCTGATAACACGACTTAAAACAGATCCGTTCTAAATCGATTTCTCCGAACAGAACGAGGCCGACAAGCTTGTTGGTGACTGAGACGAACCGGCATCGGTTGTCATCGAGGATATCGCAAAATCCAGTATGAAATTAGCTCTTCCGTATACTCAACAACCTGGATCATCATGGACACCCAATGATACATGCTAGTCATGAAGAGGCAGACAGCTTCTACACAGGGGCTATATTACGGCGAATCATTACTTCGCTGCTATTGTCATTCCTTGGATACACGCGCGCTGACGGAAACCTTTAAGCTCTTTGCCGGCAAGTCGTGATTCGGTTCGCTGGTGCCGCTCGATGAAGCAATCTTTGCCCCAAGAATAGCCAAACTCGAGCACACTATCATGAGAGATCCGACTACACTGAGCAAACTGATCTCATCAGGTTTGGTTAAAGCTTGCCATAGAAATGTGAAGGCGACATTGGCCTGGAACAGGATGGCACAGTTCTGAGGTTTCTCAAGTTGAAGGGATCTATTGTAAAAGAACTGCGAAAGGGTACCGAAAATTCCCGTACCGATCATGAAAATGCTGCGGCTGTAACCAGTGCTAGCAACGGAGGGAAGTGTGAGAGCATCCAAGCCGAGAGCGAGGCTTGCAGCACTCTCAAATGTTCCGCAGACACCAAAGGAGAAGACCAGGCAAACGTAATGGACTGAAGAACCGATGAAGTAAACGATAATAGGAACCATACCAGAGGTGGCCGCTCCTGCAATTGTGACAATGAGGGCACTCAGATCCGTCTGGGATTCTTCAACAGTTATCGAGGAGTCGAAAACGAAACTCGGGCGAACAACAAATACAGACCCGGTGAGGCCGACAAAAAGAGCAACGACTCCAACGAAGGATACCCTCTGTTTGAGAATGAGAGCAGAATACACCGCAGTGAACACGGGATTGGTGAAGAAGATCGCGTTGGCGTTTGCCATCGGCATGCGAGCTACCGCGTAGAGCAGCAATAGGTTTGCTAAAGCTCCCACGAGACCTCTTATAAAGCAAATGAGGCGGCACCCTGGGGGACCGATGGGGTTCACTTGTACAAGTAGGGCGAAGAAGGCGGCGATAATTGTCTGAATCACCGATCGCACCAGTGTGATCTCTGAGCCAGAGAATTCTGCGGAGGCCATATAGGCACAAAGCTGCATGAGTGAAAAGAAGAACACTCCAATCATGCAGAGGAAACCTCCTAAAATTGGCGAAGTTGACGGTAGTGTTCCCTTGAGATTGGCTTGAACAGGATCCTCAGGGTCGGTATCGGACAGTGTTGCTATAGACTCGGCTGTAGACTCCTCCGACGAGATAATATCTAGTTTGGTAACAGACATGGTAGTAACGCAAGGGATGAGCGTCAGCAGGGAACTAACCTGATATGAGCGACAAATAGTGAGATGCACAGATGTCATAAACCCCTTCGTATATGACAACTCGGAACAGATCTCCAAGAGGAAACATGCAAAGTCACTTGCAATTATCATGATGTACTAAGTCTTCGACTCGTCGAAGACTTCGAGATTCTCGGGTGGTCGCGCTGTGTTCCAATCCCAGCTAGTGCCTCGCGAAGTGCGCAGCCTTGGTGGTGGTCTCCAAGTTGCAAAACCGATAGTACCGCGTTGCAACATCCGTAGTTTTCCCACACATGCGAGGAAGCCTAGCCTATTCCCCATAACGCAAATAGTCGTGTTGACACTGAGACTAGTACACCGATACCTCGTTTGATCTCCCCGAGTCGCTTCCGAATCAACTTCGCGATGATTTTCTAACAACGATCGACAGATCTTTAAGGACCTTCACTAAGAGTAGCACGGTGATTCTGTAAGATCGAACATGATAAAGCTGTGAGGTGACCTCAATCTTAGTGGTACAAACGACTTGAACACATCCCGTGGATTCGTGGTCGGTTAAGTCATCGTGAATGTCGTGGGGAGATCTTCACTTCTGGTCCGTAACACTGCTGGAATGAAAGTAGTATCCTTCCTCATGCACCTGGCGTACTCAACTCTCCGGTGGGGCGGCTATGCCACAGCTCGATGTGGTTATTCTCAGTTGCTGCGGGATACACCTCAGAGTTTCTTCTACCCGCATAGGCGTGATGGGACCCGTCGGTTTTGGCATATCTGCCCTTGAAATGAATCGGTTTTATTGGTACTATCAAATTTGGTAGGGGGAGCTGATACCCGCATTCCATGAGAAATTGAGCCACTTCGGCTATGCCTGCGCTATCATGCCTGTGCGATCTTGGACTGGCATAGCTGCCCCACCGCCCCGTGAAATTCAACCTATCGGACGTAAGATAGGCATCCTTAAGTTATGATGGACCGCAGCTCCGAGTCGGGGAATCGTACCTCAGATGCCCAATAGGTTCTGGCTAGCACGCATCCGCATGCCGCGTCCGTCTAGGCCAGTATCCAATCAACGAGTGCTCCGTATGGAATGAGAAGATGGTGATGATGACGGGAGATACTGTATCCAGATACGCAGGTAGCATCGACCTCGTCACAAATTGTCCTCTCCCTCCTAGGACTGTACCTCAACCTAACACCTCGACCACCAGTAGCATTCGATTACCTGTAGCGCCGCTACCAATGTTAAATTTTGAGCACGGAATCGGCAGCCACACGAACAAAATCATTCGCTGTGCGTTGTCGCACGCAAGGCGAGCGCTGTTGACCAACTCATCATGATTTGACGTCACGCGGTTTGTGCTCCGCTGGCGAATGACCTCTATTCCAGTGAAGTATCTAATGCCCAAGCTGTAGACGCAAGAATGGCTATCATTCTTAAAGGAGGAGTTGTTAGGATCACCCAACTCCTTTGCTACGACATTGAATTTGGTTATTTTAACGTGAATTAAAACCAAGTTATTCCGCATGGTAAGCACTCATCTACCATAAGGATGGTGCGCATCGCGGAAGGAAAGGTTCTGGTTACCGTTGAAGGAGTAAGGTTAGTGCCCGGAGTGGGGGTGGTAAGTCTTGCGATTAGATGAGTACTGAGGTCGTGTCCAACGGCACAATCCGTATGCTATCAGATGATCAGTGATAATGACCTGGATGGTAGTAGATCTGCAACGAAGGCAACCCCTATGGAATGGCAGAGGGCCGTGTTGGGGAAGGGCTGACTGTTGAAACGTGATGGGCATGATCCTCGCTGCTTGGGGTGATAGTATAGTAATTTTCGTCACATGAATGGTTTCAAAACAAAAGTGATGGATCGAGTTGTAATATCAATTTTGGCGCTTGCACTGGCCTCTCGTGGGAGACATCTTGGCATGGCCTCGACCAGTCCTTCCTCCTCTCGACTGCTACATTGACAACGATAACCTGAATGGCAACCCGCCCTAGAGAGGACGATGAAGAGTCTCTAACAGAGGGAATGGTAGTGCTAATCCTATACAGTTTCCCTTGCGCCACTACTCTAGCCTGAGCTCATTTGTGATGACTTGCGACTATATAGAGGTCCATCCAGTGGATTTTTATGAGGTACTCGGTATACTCGAGTTCAAAGCACCGGTCTACGTCTTGGTGGCGTGGTCTCCCAGCGAGATGAATGGTAAGTTAGGAGCAGAGTGGGAATTCTCTGCTTGGACGTTTTCGGGCGCAAGTTTTGCCTCGAGCAGTCGAGGAGTATGGGAGTATTTCTGGCGCAAACCTCGAATCAGGTCGAGTAGAGAGCTTGTGTATGTTCAATCAGGCGAAACCGAGCCATGTGCTATGCTGCTGGCCACGGTCCCTCTATATCGAGGCAGCTACCAAAACTATCTGATACAATAGCAACCATGGTCTTGGATTTTTAGGAGTTTTCGACATATTATATGCTAGGGAGCTTGAAATCGACTACTCTATGGGTGAGAGAATATGAGTCGGTACATAGGTCCATATCGTCCGACTTGGGAACCCCTGTTTGATCTCTTCGGCTCTTTTGATCCGGATCCAGTTGTGCAGAAGATGATAAATGAGGCTATGGAGCGTGCTCATTTTCACGGCAAGGATTGGGTATGTAGTTTGTCTGAGAAACGACCGAGGTTGATGGGCTCATCGTAGGCTTATAGACGATTGAACAAGTCGGAAAAACTCGGCTACATAAGGAATCCTCCGCCACTGGCTTGGTGTATCTACCAAGTTCCTGGGCCCAGCAGTGAATCGATCTACCAGCTGTAGTAATATGGGATTTGGGTTGAAGGCAGTAGTATTGGCAGTAGGTATCTAAATGACTGCTTTCTGGCCGAGAGCGTAGTGGCCGAATGGGGCGTCGCTAGGAGGGATGTAGATACTGAGATAAGGCAGGACATATTAAGTATGATGGAACACTCGGGCGTCACTGTCGTTGATCTCATTGCTGGACTCAGAACTGCCAAGTCCTGAGGAGACCGGCCATACGGGCAAGTTCGGGCATGATATTAATATAAGGCAGAAGCCGAAACGGGGACATCTATTTTTCCGAGGAGAACCTAGGAACACGAAAAGGAGTATGGATTCTCAAGTCGATGATCTAAAGCTTTGCTTGTCACTTTGTTAGACGTGGTGGGTCAGATGGTCGAGTGTAACAAGTACATCATAGATTTTTCCCGTCCTATTGCTATGAGGAGTCTGATCCCCCCGATACTACCGGCGGTTCGGTGAGGAAGGGGTGACTCTTGCTCGAGTGGGACCCTACTCTGGTTCAGGTCGGCCTTGCAGGACATCATCGACTTCTCAGTAGAGTACGCCTCGGAGAGGGGCCTGGATCCGGACAGCGCGCTGTCATTCCGAATACTAGTGAAAATGGCGCAGCAACCCTGGCATGTTGACGATGAGACAGTAGTACTTTGCGGTCCTCTTGGTTGTGTAGCAGAACTCCACCAGGTTAAGGAAGGAGTCCGTGTTGTTATGGAGTGGCTCGGCACGCGGCTCTTGGCCCGCTATTGGGACTATATCACGGTAGGAGATGGGATAGTCACTGGCTTATTGGATTATGTAGAGTATAGTCTACTATCTTTAAGCGTTATTGCTAGCTTTACTATATCTGTGTTGATGGACTTGTAGAATATGCATCCACTTTGGCAATCGTTATTGCCGTTGTCTTTTCAATTTATACCTACCAACTGTAGTAGCTGATCGGCGGGTTCGAGGGGCGACTGGTTGTAGCTATTTCTTGCGGCTCCGTTACAAAGTATGCGGGATGGCTACAAAGTCTTGTATTTGCGCTATGTCGACCCTAGTAGACCCTTCTGCTTGTTAGCTCTTCAATTGCTTCAGTGAAAGAGAGATTATATCCTGCAGGTAGATGCAACTCGCGTACGCTCCCATGCCCAGCTTCCACACTTTGAGCGGCAAGGCCTCGGTGGTGCCGTTTGCGTGTCTCCCCAGCAACTAGAGGCGAGCCAGGGTGAGACCTTGCCGTTATTCAGGCTGCCTAAGTCGACACACGAGTGTTCAGGATCCCCTTTTTATTACGATTCGAGGCATCCTCGCTCAGTCAGAGTACCGTTGGAGTGTCCACCGTTTCAGCTGTGGGAGCGCTTCCCGAATACAGCGTTCGGATGCGAGGAGAAGACGGGTGCGGCGCGGCAAGTATGGGTGACATTTGGGTAAGCACCCAGCGGTGGGTCGGAGGAGATAGTTGCGGTCCAGGTACCGCCTTACTGATCACCCTTCGAGAACTGAGACTTCGAGGCTTCAGGAGGAGTTGTCTTGGGCTAAGCCCGGCCTTTGCTTCATGGCCGAGACCTAATTCAGAGGCGGCTTTCGGACTGTCCATATGTGGCCTGGATTTACCACTATTTGAGTTTCTTTCCCTCTTGAGTGATGCGTTAGCACTATCTCATTAAGGTGAGTGGATATTCTTTTGCTCAGTTGCGTCGTCGTCTATGACCATTCTCAACTCGTTGGTGGTTAACCGAGATCTTGATGGATCCGTGGTTGAAAATCCGTCTACCTTTCGGCTTGTCCTGATATGTACAGTTGTATTCATCGATTTCCTTGGCGTCACACTGCCTGCCAACATTATACCTGTCATGATTGATAAGTCAACCAAAGGTCACCTCGTTGGGTGTGAGAGCATTCCCGAAGGGACAGCGGTTTCCATAGCGGCTTTTACCTATGCTATCGGTATGAGCATATCACCACCGCTCATGGGTTGGCTGTCGGATAGGCGAGGTCGTCGTCCTTTACTGTTAGCCTCGATGCTGGGTATCTCTATCTCCTATTTCTTACAAGGATCAGCGAGAAATTACTGGTGGTTCGCCTTCTTCCGGTTCCTCACTGGTTTGAGTGGAGGCGGCCGACCGGTGGCCATGGCTTATATCACAGACACTCTGACCGACGTCAAAAGGCGCACTTCGTATTTTTCTTATATCAATATGGTCCCTGGTCTCTGCTTCGGCTTAGGGCCTGCCTTTGGTGGAGTGCTGGCCTTTTTCAGCCTCTCTGCACCATTCTATTTCGTATCATTTTGGGCATGTGTGGTGTTCGCGCTGCTCTACCTCTATCTCCCAGAGTCTCTCCATCCCTCTAGGATCCGGGCAAAAAAATTGGGATCGGACCCTGGCGAGTCGCTCCTATCCGAATTGGTAGAAGACAGTCCCGAGATCGACTGTCGTGCCTTCAGTCTATTGTACTTTGTATCAGCAATGACTATGTTCTTAGTAGTGGTTATTGGTCTCATGTCCCCACTTGTACTCAGGGACTTCTTCAATCTGTCTCCACTATCGGCAGGGTTCACGTATCTAGGTGACGGAACTCTCATCGTTTTAGGAACCTTGTCATTCATTCATCTGGTCAATGAAGTGGGTTATACGAGTAGTTTTCTCGGGGCATCCAGTCTTTTCATATACGGCTTGGGTTGTCTCATCTTACCTGAGACATTCCACGACCTCTTCTTTTTTCTGGCCATCAAATATATCTTTCTCGGTGCATCACCATCATTGACGTTCGCAGCATTACCGGTGTTAGTGGTTGAATTCTCTCCACGACACCGCAGTGGTGAACTGATGGGGTACTTCACGCTATTCCAGGGAGCTGGTCGTTTGGTCGGAACTATCACGGCTGGCCTCATGTACGATGCTCACCCCTATGTACCATTTTTGACCGCTGGCGTCGGGTCACTCCTGGCTGGGTCCGCTTGTTCTCTGCTCTATCACCGAGTCCATCGTAACAGAGAGACCCTTAGCTCGTCAGAATTTTGAGTAAAAGCGACGATTCTTTGGAATTAGTTCGCTATTATTTTTTTGAAATGTATTCAAATAGTAATGCTTCTCATCCGGCAGCGGTCTCGTCGAGTATTTGGGTTGAATGAAGCTTAAAGCTGCGAGTTGCGTTGGCGAGCGAGTGGGGCATCCTACGAGCATCTTTTCAGCTCTTACCGGCCTACGAACACAATATCTTTTCGAGGCCTATTTCACTCTTGATAAGAATAGTTCTCGAGGACGGGGTATGGCATATCTTCGGGCGGCATAGCTGCCCCGCCCTGGGAGACTGGCTGTGCGCAGGCGTGTATTGTGGCGGCAGAACCGCTCTGTTCTGGCGATGTGGTTGCGCTAAGGCATATCTTGGGGTGGCATAGTTGCCCCGCTGGGATAAAGTTATTGTACTCGAGCATATCTTGGGATGGCATAGTTGCCCCGCCGGGATAAAGTGATTGTACTCGGGCATATCTTGGGGAGGCATAGTTGCCCCGCCGGGATAAAGTGATTGTACTCGGGCATATCTTGATGTGGCATAGTTGCCTCGCCGGGATAAAGTTATTGTACTCGGGCATATCTTGATGTGGCATAGTTGCCCCGCCGGGATAAAGTGATTGTACTCGGGCATATCTTGATGTGGCATAGTTGCCTCGCCGGGATAAAGTTATTGTACTCGGGCATATCTTGATGTGGCATAGTTGCCCCGCCGGGATAAAGTGATTGTACTCGGGCATATCTTGGGGTGGCATAGTTGCCTCGCCGGGATAAAGTGATTGTACTCGAGCATATCTTGGGGTGGCATAGTTGCCCCGCCGGGATAAAGTTATTGTACTCGAGCATATCTTGGGGTGGCATAGTTGCCCCGCGGGGATAAAGTTATTGTATTCAGGCATATCTTGGAGCGGCATAGCCGCCCCGTCGAGAGTAAGTGCTTGTACTCGGGCATATCTTGGAGTGGCATAGTTGCCCCACCGGCATGAAGCGACTGTACTCAGGCATATCTTCGGGTGGCATAGCTACCCCGTCGGTATAAAGTGATTGTACTCGGGCATATCTTGGAGTGGCATAGTTGCCCCACCGTAAGTGCTTGATTGTAAGCGGTATCTTATAATTTCGCCACCTCTCTGTTATGATTTTTTTCTTGCTTCGAGTTGGACCTTGAAGTTCCACTTCATCATCATCATCATCATCATCATCATCATCATCATTGAAACAATCGGAGATTCGTCAAGAAACTAGGTTGATGCTCTCTCCCTATAGCGGACTGACAACGTTTTTCACTGGAAATTGTTGTTTTCCTGAGTCTCTAATCCCCGTAGACCGTCAGGTGAGCTCAATGGGATTATAGTCAGCAGTTTAGCGAACCTCGCCAGGCGAGGTACTCCTGGTTCTGCCAGTGAAGTTATCGGAGCAGTTTTTTGACGCGTTGCGAAAATTCTCTCGAAATCTCGTGGTCTAGCTCGGAGATATTACAAAATTGTGACTGGTCACAGTCGGTGCCGAAGTTTGAGAGCATACCTCACTTGCCCATATCCTTGGGTTATGCGGTTAACTTCGCCGGAGAAACTCAACTCACCAAGAGCGGAAATGACCTCGAAAAGGTTTATTGATGCCACTGCACTCGAAGTTGGATTGCGAATGTCATGGGTTTCAGTTTTGTTCATATCGTATGGCACATAGTCTCAATAGGAGCAATGTTGTCGAGCCGGCACCACTCAGTGGCATGGCGCGGTTTCGCCTGTGTTTGGTATGCTCTGTCGTTTTCATCGACTTCATCGGTTTGTCATTACCTCTCAATATTATACCAGTGTTAGTGGATGTCAAATCACCACATCATTTAGTAGGCTGTGAAACCCTGGGTATGGGCAAGGCATATTCCATAACGTCCTTTGCCCACGCCGTTGGCATGACTATATCTCCTCCGTTGATGGGGAGGATGTCCGATAGAGTCGGCCGACGCCCTATGCTACTCGTCTCAATGCTTGGGATAGCAGTAGCTTACACTTGTCAGGGCCTCACCAAAGACTATTGGTGGTTCGTATTCTACCGCTGCATAACGGGT